ACAGTTCGGCCCACAATAGTGCACAAAAGCCTTGATGTTTAAGTACATCCAGTGTGCAGGGATGGTGTCTTTTGGGAAATAGCCATAAAGACCTCTGGTAAAGGTGCTGGAAAGATTTGAATCTAGTGTTTAGATTCACATATGATCGAGGCATACATTCAAATCTTCACTTGGATAACCCATGTTAGCCTGTTGATTTGCAGACAAATCCCTAGTGAACTTGACTTTGCTTCCCCAACTCCTTATAGCTGGAATGAAAAGAGCCAAGTTACGGGAGGAAAGATCCAGATCAGAGCTGATTAAGAACCCAGAACTCGGATCCAAATTGGTCACTGAAGTTATGACCCAATCTCCGGTTCTCCTGAATTGACAAAATCATCTTGGGGTTAATTTGGACTCTCTTCCCTGGAGCCCTGAAACCCACTGGGCTATCTCCTAACATGTTTCCAGGGCATAAGTCCTCTTCCTTGGACATCCCTTATGCACAGGTGGCCATCGTACCCACATTAATTAGTGTTAAAAATGAGAAAGAGTAATCCTTAGAGATAGTCACCCCATGGCAAAGCCCTAAAACTTTTTCCTTGTCTTTTTCTATTCTTTTAATTTTATTTATTTATTTATTTATTTATTTATTTATTTATTTATTGGCACCAGGGATTGAACTCAGGACCTTGTGCTTGGGAGGAAGGTGCCGGAACCAGTGAGCTAAATCCTTGGCACATCTTTTTATTTTTACCAATGATAGCATGCCATCTATTAAAAATGGCTAGTTGATTTATATTACAAATCTATGACTCTTCATGAGATTTAGTAGTCTTATCTTCAGATTGAAACCAAGAGATAGAGGGACAAAGTGCTGGGGACTGGTAAAGTAAGGCAAGGGCCTGTATAAACTGAACAAAGTCAGGAAATTAGAGCACAAGGAACGAAGGCTTAATTGGAGTGTCAAGGACAAAAGACTAATAAAATCTGCTTTTCTGATAACAAGAAGCCTAGCAACTGTGGCAACAACTACATCCTTCATTTTGGCACATCCCTCAAATTTGAAAGTGGCGCCAGACAATACCTGCAATGACAAACTGCCCCCTGGCACATCGAAGACTGCATACAAACCCCTAGATTTAGGTGCTTCCTTGAGTCTTCCCTTAGAACTCCTTTCAGCTAGTGAGGGCTTTTCCTTATTCTTTCTAATAAACCACACCAGACTGCTCCCCAACATCCTCAGGACAAGATCCCAGAGAAAGGGAACTGGATACATCTCTGGCCTCAGCATGAGACTCAACTTCTCTACATAGAGATCAGTGTGACGGGACAGCTGGACCACACCCAGATTCGTTTTGCTTTCCTTTCTACATTCTAAGAAATAGTGACAGGTTCCCCAGCAACTGCCTGGTTAATCCCCTGCTGATCCCCAGGGATGGGGTGATGTTGACCAGGGAGGTGGGATGCTTTTCAGAGGCACATTTTTGGACGGGCAGAACTGGTGAAAACTGCAGTAACAACTGTGAGGCCCTGGCTAGTGCTTCTCCTCTGTGGGAGCTCAAAGGTCCTTTGGTAGAAGCTGGGTGCCGACAGCTTGACTGAGTTCCCAGCAGAGACCTCCACTTGTGGATTGCATCCAGCCTGCACTCCCCCTGTGAGGTGAGAAGTGAACTCTCAGTGTTCTCTAGGCATCCCCCTCTCAGAGGAACCTGAGGCCCCTCCATCAGAGCCGTCTCCTAAGCTTCCATTAGGAGTTGAGCTACAGGTTTGGGCTTACTTTTCTCCTAATATGACAGACCCATTCTTCTTTAGATATGTTCTGATAAATGTACTGGGCCTGGAACAGGATCCTAACCCACATTCTGGCCTCCCTCAGCCCCTGATGTCCCTGAAGTCTAGTCTCCCCAACTAACTGTCATAGATTCAATACATGGCGCATGATCCCGATTCCCCCCAAAAGATTTCTTAGGACAAAGGTCAGAGTTAAGGGAGAGGCTCTCAGCCCGTCTTACCACTTCAGAATGCTGTAAGGTAGCCTCACACTGCTCAGGATTCCCTCCAGTGCTGAGGGAGTTGGCGGGTGGAGGTAATTTTGCTCAACTACTTCCTTCAGACTCTAGACAAGAGATGGTCACTTCTGTAGGCCATGCCCATGTGGCACCACAGTCCTTCTCTCCTGGAGATTGGGCTACGGGACATCCTCATAAGGGCTTTTTGTCACTCCTGGGGCCCCTCAAGATCTATTCGATTCAACCCCATGAGGATCCACCATGAGGATCAGGCCCTGGGTGCACCCTCCCAGGACTATGTGTCAATGCCCAGAGCAGCTACTGTCCACGAGTTTTCTGAGTGAGTTCCATCACTCTTCTGCTGTCACAAACAGGGAGAGGCCGAGAGAAAGAGCCAGAGGATGACAGGGGATGCCCTTTACTCCCAGCCTCTCTTACAGAAGAAAAATACTGAAACTTAGAAGGATCTTGTCTGTTACTTCTCCATGGGCAGTGCCCACCATCAGAAGCAGATTACTGTAGTAATTCTAATGCAGGGGACCAGCTGTCAGAGGAATGGTTTGCTGTAGTAACTCTAATACACAGGGCCTTGAGAGGGCTGCAGCTTGGTCAGGGTTTTCTAAAATCATCACCCTAACCCTTCTTTAAACAATCCTTGCTTTTACAGTGTAAAAGGGATCTTCTCTTTCTTTCACTTTTGTACTCATCAGTATTTGTGTAAGAGATGTTTAGATTTACCTAAAAACTAAAAAAAACTAATCAATTCCTGAAACGTTCTGACTAGACCTATTTAAAGTTATAAACCTAAAACCATAACAGATTGTTATGGTTCAACTTGACCAATAGATTTAAGAGCACACGCTTATTTAAAAGTAATTGTTTTGTGCATTCTGTTTCTTGTTTGTCCATCTGAATTGATGAAGGTACATAGCTGCTTCATTGGATTTTTTCAGCTCATATTAATTTTATTTTTCCTTTTATCTTTGCCCCTTTAAACTTCTTGCTTTTTTTGGCTGTGAAAAACTAGTCATACAGATGTTTAGGATAGCTAAAGTCACTTAAGGCATTGTAGGATGAAGGACAACAGACTTGAGGCTTACGTGGGACTTAAATATAAAATCCTTGAAGTCTGGTAACATGAAAGTTATATATGATTGAGGTTAATAGGTATGTTTCTGTGTGTTGACTTTCAGGTATATATTATCCTCCAAAATTTCTCCTTAAGTTGGATTCCAGATAAATAGACACTCATGATATTAGCCCAAATGCTTTTCGGTTCACATAGTTTAAGAGTGGGGTAATTTAAATAAGTTTGTAAGAGTACAGTTGGGAACATGTTTCCATCCAGACTGTTAGCAAATCAAGATAACATCAAAAATTCTTTTTATAAATACAATGCCTATTGTCCATGTAAAATAACAAAAGCTTTTTCTTGGTCATAGATAATATATATATCTAATACAGTGGAACAGCTGTCAGGAGTGGTTTGTGTTAACTGTTATGATTTGTTTCTATTGAGTCACCTAAAGTAACAAGTAAGTGGGGATCCCTTGTTCTTGGAAAACTGCTGGATAAAACTCCCCCTCTGTGGCTAAAAACAGCAGCTGCCTGAACTAATTTGTTCAGTTTTCTCTGCTGATGGGAGACTTCCCAGGTTTTTTTTCCAGAGTCTTACCGTGTCACACCCCAGCAAATGTGATTATATTTTTGTAATATATTTAAGGTAGTTATAATGAGGTTAAGCTTTCTGTGCTCAAAACAGTAAAGTTTTCTTAAGATATTGAGATGCCCTTGGTTGAAATGATAAAACTAAGGGGGCAAAGGGTTCTATATATTGTACTAGAATAGTTTCTGGTGTTTTGTTTTTGTTTTTGTTTTTGTTTTTTTTTTACTGTGAAACTCAATTTCTTGGTCCAACTAATTTCTTCTCTTTTGACAGCTCTATGGCTAACCAGAAGCAGCCATGCTCACTGATAGGAATCCTCCTGATTTCTACAGGGCCCTTAGATAGACCTCACAGCAGTGACCCTGCCTGCTGCCCTACCCATGGCCTCTCTCAGCAAGGAGCAGCCAGAGTGACTAATGCCCCCAAACCCCTAACGACAATTAAGGTCACCACTATTGAGGAGGGATTAAGACCATCATGCAGAGGGGTACAGTACAGGGACCTGGATAGACTGAAGGCAGGGCCCCCTGGATAAACTGAACAAACCTCAGGAAATTAGAGCAGGAGGGACAAAGGCTTAATTGGAGTGCAAAGGACAAAGGACTAATAATATCTGATGACAAGAATCCTAGCAAGAGTGGCACCTGCACATCTTCATTTTCACACATCCATCGAATTTGAAAATGGCACCTGACAACACCTGCCCATGACACACTGCCCCTTGGCATGCCAAAGCCTGTGCATAAACCCCTGGACTTAGGTGTTTCCTCAGCATCCTCCCTTGGAGCCCCTTCCCCTAGCGAGGGTTTTCTTTGGTCTAATAAACCACCCCCAAATCATTCCCCACCGCAGTCCTATTGGCTTCATTCTTTCTTCTTCCTCTTCCTCAGGACATGAGCCCAAAGGTCGGAAATTTTTTAGAAGATCTTCATAGATTCTTAGATATTCAGCAACTGGGGCAGGGCTGCCTCAATTATTGGCTATGTATTTAAAGAGTGAACTCCAGGGAAGTCAGTGAAGAAACATGTCTTCCCTCTTCAAAATCTTATGTTTTGTGTATGTATGCACATCATAAGAGGTTTCTCTAACTCTAAGCTCTTAAAAACAAGTAAGCATTACACAAAGTGGTACCCCAGAGTAATCTTTTTAGAGCTGAGCCATGTGTGATGACAAATTATCCCTAAGTTCCCATCTTGCTTCTGGCATGGATATTAAAAATTTAGATGTGAGGCTTCATAACTTCTACAGGCAAGAATTCAGGAGTAGAAAAATTTCCATATATTGGCGTGAAAATGGGAAAGGCCTATTAACAAAAAAAAAGAGCTATATCTGTGGAAAGGATGGGGGTGACTTGGCTCAGAGCCAGAGAGAAGAAAACTCGGGAGATTTAAATGTCAGTAGTTGGATTTAAAGGAAAAAAGGAAAAATTAACTCACATATAGCAGTATTCTTAATCTTTTGTTCGTCTGTTTATTAATTTAGCTTTGGTGGTGCTGAAGACTGAACCAAGTGCCCTTTGCAACCAAAGAACACAGTCTACTATTGAGCTACACCTTCAGCCAGACGATGTGTGGCTATCCTATTACAAAGGCCCTGGCTTATTTCTGACCCTGAAACCTGCAGAACAAATCCATTGTATCTAGGCCGAATCTATTTAGTACCGGAGACTTCTGTGACATAAAGCCTTGCCTGCCAGTTGTATTCGAGTTCGTAAAAGTCCAGTTTTGTTGAACTCTTGAATGTAGTGTAACTGAAGCTGTTTGCCACACCTAAAATTTGTAGACACCTGACTTGCCACTTATACTAAAGGCCAAGTTATAGAGATGAATGGGTGGCAGTTACTCCGGAGAACCACCTTGATGGTCTGGATCTTATACAACTGGACTTTACCAGCCATCGATATAAGACATTGCTCCATTTTGGAACAAAATGCTTCTTTTTCTTTTAAACTACTGCAGCATTATTGAATGTCTTCAAATAAAGATTTCTTGACAAATTTCTTTTAGAACCAAAGCTGGACAAAGGTTTGATCCTTTTGATGAAGGGTACCTTAAAATTACACACAAAAAAATTTTGCAACTGGTTGGTTGTTTTCTCAGTTAGTGGTCAGCTGGGAAGTCAGTTTAATTGTGCTCATTCTTCTCAATCAGAATTTATTGCTATAGTTTCTTGTAAGACCTTAGATTTCTGCTGTTTTTATTAAAATCATTTGCAGGATCTCATTTGTTTCTTAAGTGGGTGGCATATTTAAAAGGTACAATTAATTCAGAGATTGAAAATATGCTTCTGGATAAGTGTTTCCAAGTCATTGCTTTCTCCTGGCAGAATGTTTGTTTCCTCGCTCTCCATTGTTATTTGACATGAGAAAGGACAAAAAAGCAAGAAAGTAAATTAAGGGTGGAGGGTTTGCCTGGAAAATCCCCAGAAACAAACAACTGACAAAATAATACCCCCCTGAGACAGATAGACCCTACAGTGAATTATGATTTCTATGTTTAAAGACTTTCTTTCTGTGTACATAGTGGGAAGCTGGTTTTAGCCAGCTCGTTCCTCAATGCTCCAGAAACAACTGAAATTACAAATGTGCCTCCAGGTGCTGTCTTCACCACTGATGCATGGAGATGTAGATGTGTTTACAAGAAATGAGGAAAGCCAGCTTGCAAAAGGAGTGAAATTAACATGCAGGAGGAGACCTACAGGAGTTCTCCGTCCTGGTTGGTGGCTAACCATATTCCCAGATTTCTAGGGTATCTATTGAGATCTTTGCATTTGCTTGAAATTGTCCATAGTTAGCAAGGTCTTAGAAATTAATTAGTTCGATAGTTGCAAGATTACACTTTAGGTAGAAACATAGGGGTCTTGGGGCTTTTTCTCTTCAAATGAGTTTTTTTTTTAACTTGTATGTGTTTAGTTTTCTGCAGAAAATATCTGCTGCTTCCTAATTTACTTGGAGCATTTTTAAGGGCTTGGGGACAAATACTGGCCTTGGTAGATAGCAGGTGCCAATAAATCCACATAATGAGTTTTACTTTTAGAAATGGAGACCCAAAGGAGCTTGAAACAGTAGAGAAAGTACTGGTCTGGGAGCTGGAGCACCTGTGCTCCTTTCTCACCCCAGTGTCATACGGCAGAGCAGAGCGGGAATGGTCTTCTGCTTGCCACTTGGCAGCTCATTCATTCTCCAGCTCTCCCTGCCTGGGAGGAAGAAACTGGCTTCTCCAAGTTCCCTGGCTGTGCGGTGTCCCATGGCTCTGTGTATGGGGACAGATAGTCTCCCCATTTTTCCATCTCTGGGTGCAGAAGCCTCTGCCCAAGCAGCTCCTGGAGGTAGTCTCTGTTCTACAATTCTTGCTCTGTTCTTGCTTCTGCCTCATTTGTTTGTCTTCTTAGTCCTGCCCACACTCTTCTAAGTGGTCTCCTGTTAAGGGCTTCACATTTGAACTGCCTTGAGTGGACTGTGTTTCTGTCCACATCTGAATAATACTAAAAGTGACCTGCTAAGCAAATGTGAAAAGGGTTTGGAGAAGTTGGAGAAGTGGGGTTGAATTCCAAACCACTGGAATCATATCCCATGACTGGATTCTTTCTGGGAGGCTGCTGGGTGGGTGACATGAATTAGTACTAACATGTGTAGGCCTCAAGGGGTGGACCGCTACTCTGTCCCAGAGAAGTGTAAGCCTGGTGCCTTCAGGGACTCTGGCTCCTGCCGAAGAGGTTTAGGTTCCATTTTATCCCCTCAGTCCACTGGGGATAAAAAATTTTTGCTTGTGACCAACTAAAAACATTTTTAATTGATAGGGGTTTCTGTCATTTTTTTAAAAATAACAATTTGGCAAGAGGGTGAGTAGATTCTACAGTGGAGTACTGGGCTCCATTCTGTTGCAAGAATGGTATTTAAGAGCTTGCACAGAGCTAGAAATGTACATAATTACAGGAGAACAGTACTGCGAGGAGAGGGGCTGGTGAAGAGAGGTGGCTAGAGAGGGCAATGACATCCCAGCCATGCGTATTTATATATATTATATATTTCATATATTACATCCAAACGTGACAGTCACGTGTACCATTTCCCTAGGAAGGCAAGGGTCTGGGCTGGGTGCAGGGGGGCAGCACAGTGCAGGGAAGGGCTTTGCTCACAGAAGCTGTAGGAGCTTGAGCGACTGCAAGAGAACTGTGGGCTCTGCAGCTGCCAAGTACTGGCAGCAAAGCCAGTCCTCCAACTCCACACCCCGCCTTCGGTCCACCGCCTTCTCTGCAAACTTCATCATCATCAGGGCCCGCTTCATGTCTATCCAGTTGTGCAGCGTGCTGCACAGCACCTCCTCGGAGGGGCTCGGCTGCTCCACCAGCTCGCGCCGCGGCCCCCACAGCAAGCACTGCAGCACTCGCTTGGCTTCCCCTATGCGGATGCGCTTGATGGGGTCAGCCTCGAGCAGCAGGTGGGCGAGCTGCTGCAGGCCGGGCGAATAGAGGGAGAGGGTGGGCAGAGGGGGCAGGTCTTCCTGCCGGTAGTCCTGCTCCCTCAGCTGGGCACGAACCTCGAATGGGTTGGGCTGGTGGAGCAGCTCATAAATGAGGATGCCAGTCTGGAACTCATCAAATTTGCGGTACTGGGAGGCAGACACGATCTCGGGGGCCAACCGGGCCTGGCTCTTCTTCTGCTGCAGGTTGGTGGTGCCTCCTGGCTTCTGCTTGGCTTTCAGGAAGTTGCTGATGATGAGCCGGGGCAAGTGCTTCTCACTGGGCACGCCCCGATAGGCAGGGGCAGTGAGGGAGCCGGGAGCGACGGTGGATGGGGGGCCAGCAAGGGAGGGGTTGGCAGGGGAGGGCCCCGGGGAGGCCTGGAGGCCACAGTGCACCAGCAGCAGGTTCTCCAGGCACAGGTCTCGGTGGATGATCCCGTGCTCCTTCAGGTGCTCCAGCCCATTGCAGAGCTGCAGGAGCAGGAAGCAGACGCGTCTCTCGTACACCTCGGGCGCAGCCTGGTGGCTGGCGGCTGAGTCGCGCACGAAGTCCGAGGCCGTCTGGTAGGGCACCTCTCGAGTGATGACCACCACACAGTCCTGTTCCTGGGCAGGGGGCTGTGAAGGTGCTGCAGGCAAGGGGTCCTTGGTCGTGTCGGGGGAGCTAAGCATGCTGGAGGGCACCGAGGCGACAAAGTGGCCACAGTCCTGCTGGATGTTGAAGTGAACGGGAACAGAGGGGCTGCAGTACGAGGCTGTTTTGGGCTCAGGGGTTTTGCAGATCTGTGGAGGAAACCAGAAGTGAGGTCAAGAGTGGGATCCACGTTTTGTTCAACAGATGTACACATCCAGAAAGGCAAGCTGCTCCTTTCCTCACACCATACATAAAATACCTTAAAGGGCATTTCACAGACTTAAGGGTAAGTGCCAAAACACAAATTTTAAAAGAAACATGAAAAAGAGTCTTGGAGACCCTGAATTGGGTGGTGATCTCTTAGGTACCACATCAAAAGCATGAAAAAAAGAATCATAAACTTGACCTCATGATTTAAAACTTTTGAGTGTTAAAATACACTTTTAAGAAATTAGAAATACAATTAGGAGACTGGAAAAAAATAATTGCTAAATACCTATCTCATGAAAGAGTTATATTTATAATTTACAAAAACCCCACTATGTTGTCAGTAGTTAACAAATAAAACTCAATAAGACAAAGATGGAGCTGCAGCAACCCTAGAGCAAATGTGTTTGGCTGCTAGGCTGCTCCTTCATGGAAAATTTCAGGGGTGGAGACAGGCCCTAAACTGTTAGGACTCGGCCATGTTATCTCAAGTTGCCCAGGTTTTAAACCCAGGAGAATATGCAGTGTCTAGTGGCTGGTCCAAATGTTATGGGTTACAACACATTCTCCTCCTGGGGTGAGTTACAGCAGTTACAAGGAAACAGCAAGCTCTCCTGGGAACAGGGAACCCATCGGGCCTAAAGGCAGCCTCTGAGCTGCAGTTGGGAGTAAACAAGACTGGTGATCTCAAGCTCCTCTGTGGGAAGGGAGTCTGGGGAATCTACATGTCTGTGCCTTGCTCCCCTCTTCATCTCTTCTGCTAGTGCTAACAACAGCGCCAGCTTCCCGAGTATCTAATGGTCTTCCTGCTGCCCCTCCAATGGGGTGCCCTGAGCCAGCGCTGATGGTCCCCAATTTTCCTGTAATTACATGAAAGAGGACCAAAGACAGCCAATGGTCTTCTCTCTCAAAGGAGATTGAGCAATATCTCCTGTGCTTTATGGAGACAAGGATCTGCACACAATTGTCCGGAGGAGAAAGGTGCCTCACAACTACCTTTAAAGTACCAGCCAGCAAGCAAACACCAGTTAACCCTGCTTTGGTTTCCTGCACAGGAATGGTTATAGCAATGTTTATGAGGCACCACAATGCTTGTGGCTGTTGTTTTCAGAAGTTACCTCGCATGCACCTTTTCATAGAATTCTTTATATTACAGCAACCCAAAACTTTCAGCATAAAAGCTGGCATCTCCATCTTTCAGCCCCTGAAGAAAGTGTTCAAAGCTAATTGGGGGAGGCAGCAGGTAACATTTAAATTCAGCAATCTATTGTAGAATCAGAATACAAATAAAAGGAAAGTGTATTTGTCCCAGAGGCTGCTTCCCATTACACTAATAAAACTGATTTTAGAATGCATGTCTAAAGGGTATTTGCTGTCATAGGCTCTTTTTAATACCAGCCCACCCAGCAATACTTGGGCTTTAAGTGACTCGCTATTAAATGAAAGCAAATTTACGGGGAAGATGTCTTCAACAAAGGAGTCTTGCATAGAAATAGCGACTGGCCAACCGCTGCCTATTGTGCCTCTGTGGACAGGTAGGAAGGACGTTATTGTTTCCCTCTCCGTCCAGCTGCTGCTCACTGGACTCTGGCAGATATGAGTAACTGTACTGACGATTCACCCTCCAGACAGTGTCTCATTAAGTCTCATCAAATTCAATGTGGTGGATGCTATGGCAGAGGGGAAACTGAGGCTTTAAAATGTTAAGTTATTGCCCACGATTAGGCAACTGGGAAGTGTTCCAGAGGTCAAAAGCGCAACTTTGGGATGAAAAAGATTTGGTTTAAGTATAACTCTATAACCTTTGTCAAGTTACAGGGGATTCTTGTTATTTGAGGAAATTATGTTCTATTAATTAGCTGCAGACACTAAATTAGCATATGCCGAACCGCTGCTCTTACAGGAAATTACAGGGTGAGGTTTTGGTGAAGCTCTGAACCCAATATTTTCATCAAGTGATCACAACATAGCTTTGTTTTATCTATGTCTGATGGAGATGCCTCATTCGGTACATTTTCTAGACTTACTAACACTGAATTTGTTGCCCATGCATGATAACTGAGGAAGCTTATGCAGCACACGTAAGACCTATTACAGCTTTCTCATGCTTACAAACACTAAAGGCACTCCGGCACTACGCCTGGGGTCATTTTAAACAGCAAGCTCTCAAAAAAATAGGCACAAACATGTGAAAATGTGAAATGCTATGGATAATGAAAAGGACCCTTGCTTCTAGTATGGGCAAGAAAAGAAGAGGGGCGGGAGTCCCTGTGCCCCATGTCAGCTGGAGGTGTACACGCAGAGACTCACATTTTCCCCTGTCCAGACCATGCCCACAGATGACTGGCGAGTGCCTTGAGTGTTGATTTGTGGGTTACAAATAAATTTCAGCCAGTGGATGGTTTTGGCAATAAGAAATTCACAGATAATGAGAACGGAGGGTGTTTCTCTTAAAGTCTATTTTCTCTTCAATTTACCTGGGGTGGGGAAAGTTCCTTCCTGAGGGAGCTGAAGCGCAATTTTAAAGGAAAACATGCAGGTGCTGTCAGCACCAGACTGAGCCTGGGGTGAGGCTCAGCCAAAGGTTGCCATGGTGACTGCTCTGGCCATTTCAGTGGCAGCCACAGGGGTGGTGCTGAGCCATCCACCCGGACCTGGCCTGCAGGGATTGCACAACCCCTAGGACACAGGTGCAAGGAGCTTGGAGAGGGTTTCCAAAGCCCCCATTCCTCAAGGGTATGAAAGGCTTGAGGCTGGCAAACGCTGGGCCCTAGAGCTCCAGTTGAGCGGCTGACATTTTGCAAAGAGATGTAAATGAAGGGGCAGGATAAATGGCAACTGGGCTGGATGCATTTCAAATCCAGGAACAGGGCTCCTGGCAAGGCCCACAGCTCCTCACTGGAGAGGGCTATGGAGGGCAGAGCAGGCGCGTGTGAGCCAGCCTGGGTACTCTGGGTGGTACACCCTCCTGCCCCCCAGGTCATTCTAGTGTTGGATGGAGGGAAAGGGGGGGGTAAACAGAGGAAGGCAGCCCCTTTTCCAGCCCCCTTCCTCCACCCTATTCACTTTCTGGGGGTCCTGACCACAGTTTAAGCTCTAGAGCATCACAGACTTTTTGCTTAGCTCAAATTTCAATTGCTGAGCCAAGTCTTATTTCAAATACTAGAGCCAGGGCCTCATTCACGAGTAAAAATCTGGGCTAAGTCACATCTGTTAAATCAAGAAGGGCCAGAGGCTTAATATCAGTTCCCTAACTTTTACTTGGTGTTCTAGATGCACGAGAAATGAAACAGTTTTGAAAATCACAAGCCAGGGACTCCTGCCCCATGCCACATAGTCATGAAGTCAGGCTAAAGGGGCTGGCTTTAATGCTTCGTGACGGCGGGTCACCGAGCCCATGACGGAGGTTCAGAGTCAGAGGCGAGCAGGTGCCAGCCTGCTATTGTTCACTGGGACTCTGCAACCAAGGCTGTGTCTGACTGCAGTGCCGCCTCCCTGCTTAGCATGCATGGGTGAAGGTGGCTGGCGGGAAGGGGCCGCTCCCCCCCTGCAGATCCCAGATGACTGTATTCCGTCTAGACTACAGGGCTAATGAAGTGGAACAGCTGCACGTGCGAAATGATGCTTAAATCCCCACCCCACCCCCAATTACCAGCCAGCCAGGCATATTTGCAAATTGATGCTGTCGTTGTTCTTGTAATCTTGCTGAAGTTCACTATACTCTGAGTGGTTGACCACTGTTCACTAAACTTCCTTTTCACACGGTACAGTGCTAGGCCTGGGGGTTCCAAGGCTCTAGCAAAGTCAACTGTAAACTCCAGGCTGTCTTCTTTGGAGACCAAGGTTTATCTTCTGGTTTCCTTAGAGCTTAGACTTCTAATGAAACGAGGAGCGATGCTTATTTTCAACATCCTCTGGAAAGCTGCATTTCTTTGCATTGTGTAGAGCAGAATATGGCTAAATCTGCACCATCATGTGAGGCCCTGGAATCCAAGCTGCACTGCACAATGTCTGCAGAATACTAGGAATATACAAAAACCTCTTGCCCAAGGCTTGGATTCAAATAGCAGACCAGGTATTTGGCACCGGGCAGCCCAGTTTAATGCTTATTTTCAACATCCTCTGGAAAGCTGCATTTCTTTGCGTTGTGTAGAGCAGAATATGGCTAAATCTGCACCATCATGTGAGGCCCTGGAATCCAAGCCGCACTGCACAATGTCTGCAGAATACTGAGGAACATACAAAAGCCTCTTGCCCAAGGCTTGGATTCAAATAGCAGACCAGGTATTTGGCACCGGGCAGCCCAGTTTCTTAGTTCGTGCTTTGGCAACGCTTTCCATTCAAAGGGCAAGAGGGATTAAGTCTCTTTCATCAAACGTCCACCTCCTGAAATGGAGAGGTCCTTAGACTGAAGGCGTCTCCCAGGGTCAGTGCCAGGACGCAGGTGAGGGTAATGAATGATCGTGAGCTGAGGATAGTAACGTTCAAAGGGGAAGCAAAAGATGACTCACAGATCAAGTTGTCTGACTCACAGGGGGAACGACAGCCTAAGCCCATCACCATCAGCCCAAGGAGCTCACACAGTCCTGGGTCTGGGCCACTGTGATAACCCCTGGCTTTAATTATCGCATCCAGCTCATGGAGATACTAATCCCTTTTTCCTCTGCAGATGGTGCTTAACTTAACACAATGCAACTTAATGATTTTCTTGCTTTAAAATGGTACAAAACTGATACAGTCAATAGAAATTGTCAAATTCAAATTTTAAATGTTGATATTTTCCTGGGATAATGGTAAGCAGCATGACTCTCTGCCTTAATTCTGGAAACTGGCAGTGAACCTCCATGAGGCACGAAGCCCAGCCAGCCAGGTGCTCACGGGAAGAAATGCAGATACCCCATGGTGCACCCTATTGCTAAGTGAGGGTGTTCGGTAAGTAGGTATATTAAATGCATTTTGACTCACTATATTTTTAACTTACAGTGAGTCATAATGGGGACCCAACCCCAAGTCAGGGAGCAGCTGTACTAAACACAGCATCATCCTAATAGGGAGGGAAACTGGAATTTTTTTTTTTCCTTGTCACTTTGGTTGGGTGACAGGGCAGTATAGCTTCCTCAAAAGGTATCTGTGGGGTTTAGATAATAAAGAAGCAATGAAATCCAAGACATATTGTTATAGTCCCAGGACATTTGTATTTTTTTTCCTTCTCGTACCTTTATTTCTCTACAATAAAATGAATCCACCTTTCTACTTTTTTCTTAGGAGGGCAGGACCTAACTATAGACGGTCTAGTGAACACATCAATTAAGGTGTTCCCAAACTATTTTCTATAGTGGTATTACAAATTCCTTTAAAAAAAAAATCTCCGAACAAAATTCACTGCCATTTCTTGGCTGACAATCATTCTATTTTCAAAAATTTCTCTGATAAGAAGTACCCGACCAAGGCTTCAAGTTAGTTTACTCTTTGCATTTTTCTAACTGGGGGGAAAAAAAGGGATTCCAGGGCTCTCCCCTCCATTAACCACAAAAGTCTGTAAGTACACAAGGGTCACAGAGCTATCAGGTGTCCAAGGGTTACCAAAATGAGATGGGAAGCTGGGTGTGGTACCCACCTGTGATCCTGGCTACTTGGGCGGCTGAGGCAGAAGGATCACAATTTTGACGTCAGCCTGGGCAACTTACTGAGATTCTACTTCAAAAAATAAAAAGGGCTGGGGATTCAGCTTGGTGATAGAGCGCTGCTTAGCATGTGAAAGTGGGTTCAATCCCCAGTACACAGAGAGGGAGAGAGAGACTGGAGTAATCCATGGTAGATACCACAGCAGCCAGCATGGGCACAGCTGGTTCTACCACCTCTCTCAGAGCCACATGCTGAGAGAGCAATGATCCAGCATCAAAAATTAAAAATCTGTGTTATATTGGGTTACTTCTTTCCACTTTGTCTTCCTTAAGTGATACAATTACAGCACAGACTTTAAAATCTGAGGTCAAATGCATTGTAGCCACCAACTAGTTGTGGGCTATGGGACCACAGGCAACGTAGCACACTCAGCCAGGAGTCTAACTGTATGTGAAGGCTGAGTCAACGTTATCTCTTGTCCCGTTCAACATGACGCCTAGTTCTCATGTCCAACCTGCCTCTGACACTGTCCACTTCTCTCACTGGATTATATAGCTCAAAAGGATCTTCTTCCCTACATACTCAGACCTTTGCAAAACACCTGGCATATAGCAGGCATTCAGTAAAAACATGCTGAATAAATGAATGAATTCTCTATTGCACTGAAAGTTAAATGTCTTGTCAACACAAATAGGTCACATGGATTCATTCCTGCAACCACAAAATGAATAGTCACACGGTACAGTCATAACATAGATCTCATGGTACCATGCTCTGAGCCAGGCAGGGGGAAAAATAGTCCAGCACTAAGTGTTAAAAGGAAGGGTGGTAGTGAACCCTCCTCCTAATGCTTAAACAGGAGAGATAATTTCCTCAGGTCAGGACCAGCTAGTCATGGCCCAGAAAGGAAGAAGGAGGCGGTACTTACTTTCACAGCATAGGTGCTGCTGGGGTCCTCGGAGCAGGTGGCACAGTAATAAATGGCATCTCCCGAGTCACAGCAGGGCTTGTTACAGGTCAGCTTGAAGAGCGACCAGTTGTTCTCATTGAAGTGGAGCTCCTTCTTCTGGCCACCTATGAAGAGGTCCTCACACTTGGCCACGAGGCGGGCCAGGGACTGTGTGTAAAGCCCCCCCAGCTTGGCGTAGGTGCCTTCCTTGCTGCTGATGCTGCTCAGGAGGCTGTGCAGCTGCAGCTGAGTGCTGCTGGAGGAGGCCTGGCTGGACACACTCAGCTGAGAGGAGGATGTGGAGGCTGCTGTTTTGCACTGCAGGCTGGGGCTCCCGCAGCTGCTTTTGCTGCCTGCCAGCCCCAGAGCTGGAACCCAGTGACCACTGCCTTTGAAAGCCTTCTCCAGAGGCTCAGAAGAGGAGAACACAGGGTGGTGGCGGTTCCTTGGGCTCATGGAGCAGCTCAAGTGGGACTCATCATGGGTAGAGACATTTGTTTCCGAGTGGCTTAGATTCAGCTTTGGGCTTCCTGTTCTTGGCTTGGGGGAGCCATGGGTCCAGAAGACACCATCCGGAGAGGAGGCCGCACGGCTCACTATCTTCTTCTGGGGAAGGGGAGGGGGCTGCACAGGGCCGCTGGGGGACACATTCTCAGTGGAGCCCAAAGGGAATGGGACAGGAGCGAAGAGCTTCTTCCCACTGAGCGTAGGTGAGTGTGTTGGCTCGGATGATGGACCTGAAATAGACAAGCAAAACTATCAGCCGGGAAGCCAATGCCTCAGGCCCAGATCATGCAGACTCTCTTTTATTCTGGTCACACTAACTCATTTAATTTTACTTCTCTTCTATGTCTGGAATAGACAATATATGCATGGTGGTCCAAAGTCAGACAACAAAACACACAGATAATTAAGTCTTCCCTTTGCTCTGTCCCTTGGCTCTCAGTCCCGTTCATCAGAGGACACTATAGCCAGCAAGTTCTCATGCGTGCACCCAACAATGCAAACAAATGCGCAAGTCTGTGCCACACACACACGCACACACCTGCACACACACTTACATAGAAGGAAGCACACGGTACCCACTGCTTACTTTCACATGCTTTAGTCTCACGGCTCAGGGAGATTTCATACAGGTATTCAGATCCATCTAATTCTTTAAAACAGCTATAGTACGATATATCATCAAACACAAGTATCATAATTTAGTCCCTTCTTGATGGACACTTTGGTTGTTTCTAACATCTTGTAAATATTGTGGAACAGGAATAACAGACTTGAACATATGTGATTTGACCAGATTTTCAAAAAAAGTCAGTTTTGTAGAGGGTGTAATTTACCAAGAATAAAGTCCCACTTTGCAGGGTGCTGTTGAGTTTTCACAAATACCTTGCTGGTGGAGGAGGAGGTAAGGCAGGTCCACAGATACTTTAGAAGGCAAGGGTATGTGATTTTATAAGTGAGGAACTAGATCTAAGGGAAAGCGAGTCTCTCCAAGGCCCCAGGGTCCCCACACAGGGACACATGGATCCTAAATCACTGCCATAAGTCTCTGCAGAGCACAGGGACATTCACACGGCTTGTTTAGGTACATACAGAACAGAGACAGAGGGCTGGTTTAGACCAGGTGAAGGGTGGGCAGCGTTTGTCTTAGCATAATATTACCTGGAGGGTTCACAATGAAACAAGTATTTATGGTAAATAAGTGTACATATATATTAAATATGGAAAGTTGGAGAAAAAAAGGACAAATGGAAATATATTTCATTTCCTTCACTCCAAGAACTGACTTTCAAATATGTTCATGATTTCTAATAACAGCTTTTAGGGAGCTAAAAAAATGTTAGCCATAGTCATATGTTGTAAAGCGCACTCTTAGTGTTCTGAAGGCTAAAATGCCACAGAAATATGAGTCTTCGATTTTGAGAAATGGCTAATCATGCTGTGTCACCTGAGAAGCAGGGCATCTACCTCTCCAGTCTTAGCAGTGAGACTGATTTAAAAAGCACAACAGGGGCCAGGAATGTGGCTCTGTGGTTCCGCTGCCTGCCTCGCAAGTGCAAGGTCTTGAGATCAATCCCTGGTACCCCCAAAATAAAAATGAAAAGCACAACAAACGCATTAGTCCAAGTCAAGGGATAAAAAGCCCTCCAATGGAGCTCCTGGCCTTTCTAGGGTGCTTCTTAATGGCTAATAACCCACCTACCCTCACTGAGCCCTGTCTGCCGCATCCAACCAAATCAGGCAGAGAAGGCACCTGATGCACCAATGACAGCACTGAGCCCTCAGATCAAGACTTTGTCTCCACCCTTCAGATGTTCCATGGGAAGGGGTGACAGAGGAGCATGTTCTCTGGTAGCACCTGGCCCTGGGCAGGGTAGGAAATGACGTTCCTGACCCAGGCTCACTGACCAGGGCTGTGTAGCCTTAGCATAGTCCAAATGCAAAGCCCACAAGAGGACAAACTGGTCCATACGAGTAGAGGAGCTGGGAACCAGCAGGCTCATGCACAGAAAAGACCTGTGAAGTCAGGCTGAGCTTTTGGGCTGCACACCAACATTGCGCCTGGCTCCATTTTGCCTTTCAGTCAGAACCAAGAGAGATGATGCTCCCCCTTCCAGCCTGTAACAGGCAATCACTTTTGCTCCCCACTGGTTTATCAAGATCCTAGAAGTCACGCCATTTTGCTGATGGCAGGCAGAGCTTCTGCCCAAAGGTTGAACGAATGATTTATATCCCTTCCAGAAGGACTCAGGTTAATAAATCAAACAGTAGTGGCACAGTCAGGACCAGCCAGCTTTCCACACCCAGGAATTTCCTCCTAACGGTCAGAATGGAGCGTGTTTAACATGGAGCCAGTGGAGGAGGGGAGAATCCTGCTTCGCCCTGATCTTGGCGGGCTTGAAAACCTGTGGCCCCCAGGTCTATCCTGTGCTCCCCAAGAAAGCTCTTCTGGCCCCAGCGGCTCCAAGGCAAGCAGATTGGCAGAGGAAGGCCAAGGCACAGCTTTCACTTTCTCCCCCTCTTCCCTCGAGCAGAAGAGACTGAGAGAGAGGAGGATCACTTTCCAGCTTCAACGCTAAGGAAGCCAGGAGCAAGACACCTACCTGTGCAGCTCTCTAAGCAGCAGAAACCTCAGCACCTTCATCTCCTGACCCTTCTGCCTTCTGAGCAGCAGAAAGTGCCCCCCACTGAGTTGTGTGAGTCTGGCAGGGGTGACAGACAGGGGTCTGGGCCTGGGGTGTGGGAATGGAGTGGGAGCCGAATGCCTGATGAGGATTTCATCAGAGCCACCAGAGATAGGGCAACTTGCCTGGGGTCAGAATCCCTTCTGGCCTTAGGTTAGCCAGCCAGAGGGATTTCTAAAACATTTTTGGATTGTTCAATTCGTTGAGCCTGGCACTTATTTTCCCATATTTTGTTGATCTTTCTTTGGTCTGCAACATCAATCAGCTCTCGGGATACTGCCAACCTGGCTTTCTGCTTACCTCGGATTTGAGGGTGGTCGGGAGAAAGCAACCTTACTAGGCTATTTCCACCTTTAAAAAAGGACTGGATTACATCATTGCGAAGGCCCTTTCCAGCACCAATAGTCTGTAATTTCAGCACTCTCCATTTTCATCCTCTCTGAACATGCATTTTGTCTGAAAGCTGCTCCTGAAATAAAATACCTCAAAGCAGATGGTTATCTTGCATCAAAGGTCTCTCCCTCTATCTCTAGTCCTCACAGTTTGCCTTGCCTGTGTAAATTTACTAATCTGGAAGGATTGCAGAAATCCCTTTAAAAATTGTCTTTATCATCTCTTATTCACAGATCACCAAACAAAATCAAGATGCTCTGGTATAGACCTTGCATATGGCCCAACCCAGAAATCCACTCCTGTACACAGGCAGCTGGGAGGAGGGCTGCCTTCTTTACCCTAAGTGGTATTTTCTTGTTTTCCACTAGTGTGTCTTTCATTAAATCTAAACCCTACCTGTGAATCTGGCAAAGGGACCCAGATACTAGCAGAGAGGGAAAGCTCCAGGGATTAGCACGTAGGCTAGTTCATTTTTCTGTGTTTCTTACACGCCATGGGTTTGCTCCCAACAGTCAGTCCACAATGCTTCACACTAATCAGAGGATGGCACTGTTTAAGAAACTCTCCCCTCTCACACACGTGCTCATCATAAGGCTGAAGTTACACACACCTTTATCAGAGATACGAGGCTCTCCTGGAATGTGGATTTTGCATGTCTAAGTGGACTTTACAAACACACATAATGATTTTTGTTTAAAAAAAAAAAAGCCCAGTTCTGTGACAGAAACGCCATCTTCCTCCTGAACTTCCAGGTCCTTAAAGCTCTCAAGTGGCTGAAGGGAAGGTATACTAGTTTGGTGTACTTATATTTAGAAAGCAAAGAAAATCAGTCTCAATTTCAGTGGTTGGGAAAAGTGGTTAAACCCTACGTAGACAAGTAGGGCAGAAGGTGAACCCATGGTACTGTGAAGTTTACCCTGTTTGGGGCACTTGAACTCTGATAGCTCCACACATCTCAGGACCTTACAGCTTCTCAGGTATTAATATTCTTAGGGTTACTATGAAACACGCTCACATGTGGTCCTGAGAGATGAAGTTATTTTTTTCAAAAAGCAAGGGGCAGCAGCGATCTTCTCCGGGACCAGCTGGCACTGACTGGGATTTTCTTGACTCTGGGAACCATCTTCTTACAAATATGTCCCAAAGCGACACAAAAGCTAGATGTTCACAATTTACAGCAGGGGCCAGGCTGAGGATTTAGAAAACCCAGCGAAAAGAGGTATCCTGACACCCCAAGGAGTTCACTATTCACAGACAAACTACTGATTTAGGAAAATCTACCAAAAAAAAAAAAAAAATCCTCAACAACTTTGGCCAACAGCCAAAATGATTCAGATCTAATGGGATATAAAACAAATTCAGCTACATCCCAGTTTTACGGGTATGTTGATCACAGCTTCCAAATTCTGTCTTACAACTATGAGTAAAAGGGGGGGGAAACTTTTCTGGTAACTATGTCTATATCGTAGCTGTATCATGGTGGGCTTTAAATAACTCTGTGTGCTGGTAGGGCCAGAGTTCCAAGCACCAGTTCCTAAGTCTTCCTTCCAGTTTCCAATTCTTCATACAAAGAAGGTACATAACTAGAAAGAAGAGCACCCAGCAGCCCTTCAAGTGCACTGCTTTGGAGAGAAAGCATTTCTGGTGGGGAAACCATTCGCCACGTGGGGTGCACTAAGGGGACTTTAAAAAGGCTGGGGAAAGGTACAGTAGTTTGGTGTCCCCATATTTAGAAAGCAAATAAAAAAATCAGGAATCAGTGGTTGGGAAAAATAGGCTAACCCTGTGTAGACACGCAGGGCAGCAGTTCACAGGTGCTGCAGGAAGGGGTCCTCTCTTCTGGCTGGCTGTTCATAGGTACTGGCATGGTTTCCACAGCCAAAGGAGAGCCGGGCTGACAGAGGAAGTGGTCCTTCCTGTTGGACCTGGATGAGTGCCCTTCAGCTCCTCTGTGCCTAGCGCTGCTGGCTGACAGCAGCTGGGCCAGCATGAGAAGGCCAGGGGCAGAAGCCCCACAAAGTCCCCATCACTTTGCCTTTTGGCCCTTCTTGAACTTCAGTTAAGGTGAAATGGGTACTTGTGTGTGTGGAAAAAAAAGAAGTACTCTACAGAAGGATGAAGATACGGGCTACATAGCACTAGATGTCATGTAGATT